AGAGAGAGAGAGAGAGAGAGAGAGAGAGATACAACAGAGACATGGATGTAAGGTTGTCATTATAAGAGATGAATAATATTGTATATTACACATAACATGTATATTTGTTTATTTAGTCCTTGGCTTTGTCAGTCCCAGGTCAGGGTATAAAAGCTTTTAGCTTCACCCACTTACCCAGTGTTGTCCCCTGTGTTTGTACTCAACTATTAATATTATTTGTTCTGTGTAATAATTTAATTGGTTTTGTGCATTTTGAATCGAAATACGTGCACTCTTGTCTTTAAGTATAGCAATGTACTACCTATGTATCTTTGTAGGGCAATGTTGAAATAAATGTGTGTGCAAAAAAAGGGAATAAACATGTGCTTAGCCACGTGTATTTTCCCGAGCCGGTCTCAAACGCACGTTCCCTTGTTAAAACCCATATTTTTTAGTCTTCCTGCTGGGTAAAAAAAACAGTATCCACTGAACTAAAATTCAACATTTGTAGGTTTTTATTATTATTGAAACCATGCGGTTGAACTGTACCTAAAAATAAATTCCTTTTTAATATTCCGCTGGATTCGAGATCCCTCGGTTGAATGCGAACTGCTCTCTACAAGTTAAGACTATGCGTTTGAAAGCTTAATCCTCAACGTACGACGCAATAATGGCCCCATCAACTCTGCTTCCAAAATCGGTGAAGGGTTAATGTGACACAGAGAGCGCACATACCTACCAACTTTTTTCGTGTCCTGTTTACAACTCAACAACGACCCTCACTTGTTAGTCTGGCAAACAGAGTAACAATGCCATGGCATGTTCGAACATTTTCTGATACCCCGGCTCGTATTTTACTGCCCGAACAAACAATTTGGGGGAAGATTGCCAAAACGACCCGCAAGCTCTATATACTAAAGGCGTTTATGAGCCGAAGATCTCCATAATTTGATCGTAACTGGATAAAATAATGTACGCGCCGTAAACTTTTTGTCCTCCGTGGAAATTGAAGGCAAAACAGTTGAAATGGTTTTGGGTTGACAAGTGTAAATCCCGGCTACTGAAGGACCTAATTCCAAGTTTATGAAAAGTAAGTTTGTTCCCTGCCCTCTCGAACTTCATTAATAACCCGGCTACTTTTGGGACTGTGGACACTATGGTCGTAAATATATTGCATTACTTTCTTCCGGTGTATCACAAATGCTGCGTGTGCATTTTCTGTTCTTCCTGCACTTTGTTTCCAGAGCCTTGCATGAAGAGAATAAAATCGGTGTTCCTCCAACTCAAATAGTGCGTGAATCATGTGACCAGTTCATTGCAACAAACTGCGACGGATCACCTTGTGTTTCCTGGCGGTACAATGGGTGAGTACTCTATTTAAAGAACAGGTGTCGTTTTCTAATGGTTTACACGAAAATGTTTTCCATTCGTAAATCATTCCTTAATGATGACAACATAATCACGAAAGCCTTCAGAGTAACGCTCGTATCATCATTAATTATCACTCACCTCGGAGATTATATCACTTTGATTATTTACATTGTTTGATATCAATATCTGAACATTTTGTTGGTAAATATTTGGAGAGTGGACACCGGGGCTGTTTATTTTCCTCATGTTTGATTTACAACTGCATGGGAATTGTGGCAGAATTGTCATTAAAAGTCTATTAAATCGCCTAGGTTGGTCTGAACAAACGGCAGTGTCTGGTTCAGTTCTGGTATGAGTGTTTTGAAATATGCCGCCCTCTTTGACCATGTACTGCTGGTAATTTCCTTGTTAATGGGTTGCTTCGTGCATCTGAATGAAAAAAACATGACGAGACATGTGCGTATACAGAAAAATTACAGCTGCAAAAAAGGGAGTGAAAAGAAAACTCGCTGTACGTTTCGTCACTGGACGTACGAACCAACCCATTTAAATATCTCTGAACATTGGGATAAATTTAGTTTTTGACGAGCTATTATCCCTGAAACTCAAAATATCCGAGCAACTGAGGATACCAGTTGCCCTGATTTCATTCCGGAGAAACACTTTTAAGTTTAGAGGGTCGTGGTTCAACCGCTCAGAACATAACAGAGAAAGGGTTGCTCAGTGGTCTATGTTGCCATATGTGGATCACCAAAATAAAAAAAAGGAGTGAAGGGTAACATTAGCAGCGCTTATTGCTTGGAATGGCATAACCCAGTGGACAATGGACCCATCTTGGGTTCAGCCCAAATTCGCCGCTCTTGGCCGGCTGTAAACGTACTTCTTTTAATCCACTCCATTTGTGTGAAATCTTTATGAATGCACACGATGAATGTTTAATCCAACTTGCCGTGGGTGTGTTTGCTCGACTAAAGACAGCGTTTTGCTCGACGGTGCCTAGGGAAGAAGTCAATGTTGGCCTAGTTTTCTGAAATGACGTCTAAAATGGCTATGGACCAAAAATCCACCCCAGTATTTATTCACGGGAAGTAATTTTGATCAGATTGCAGCTCCTTTCTGTTTACAAACAAATTTCCTTCCCTGTGACATCACTGTACGTTGCAAAATACTTTGTGTAACCAAGCTTAAAATTCTAAGTGTTTTAATCCAAATATCATATGTCATTTCACGGTGGACCCAGCGACGCCTAAACAATTGTGTCGAACTCCACAGATAACTTTCACTCCGAAACCGCTGTGATTTCTGACTGCTCACCCTAAAACACCTAAATTCCGCTACATTTACCTATCTTCGCAAATAGGCATGTAACCTTGGTTCATATTGCACTGTTTACTGATCACATACCTTTTCGCCCTTTCTTGCCATAGAGTGGCAAGGTTTGTCAGCTGTAAAATGTAAACAAATCACTAGTCATGGTTTACTGTCTTGTATTACACGATACCTCTAACAATAAACATCGTGTGTTCTGGTCTCAGGCTAAAGTGCTAGACTCCGCATGGCACCTGCGACACCAAATTCAGACGACTGATTCGTGGAGGAATAAATAAGGGAGTGATGTAATCAAAATCTTGCGGGTTGATTCTCGCGCCTGCGGGTTGACCTTTGACACAATTCTGCGCCGAACTTGTAATGCCAGCGTGTATGTTGACTGGTCAGTGCTGATCGAAAGAGGAACTGTGCCCGAGCGTGATTCACTAATATCACATCTCTCTGCTCGCTGAATTCCTTTCTCTCGAAGCTAACACCACCACAGCAGAACAGGTAGGCTTATTCGTAGCTTTCAAAAGAAGTCCCATTGATTTGTAGACCTTTCAAATGGTTAAATCAGTTTCCTTACTCGAGTTTAATTTCTGTCATTCTGTAACCCGTCATTGTAGACTTCATATTGCTACCAAACGTCAATTTCACTGCCTTAAACTGCACATTATTGTCTTTGTAAATTAAGTTTTGTCCAATGCATAGAGAGGTCTATAGATTTGATCAATTTGATCATGGCTGTCAGAACTTGCTGTGTGGGCTTTGCTTGAAACAGCTTAACTGTTTTCGATTTCAGCCTTACAGTGAGGCTATTCGATATTTAAAGGGAGCGTGGCCCGTTTCCGTCATTTTCCCATTTCATAACCAGAGAATTATTGAATTGTACCCGTAAAATCGGGTAAACTGTTCTAAATGTCACTAAATCGGGACCTTAATTAAGAGATTTTACCTTCTGGAAACAATGAGAGCACACTTTCATCCGAGTAAAGTGGCTAGAAAGAGATAAGAAATGCCATGAAGTCAATTCAGGACATTTATCTCTTTGTGTCATTTTGTTTTTTGGGGGGATGCACTACACCGTTGCACAATCTGCTGTCGTGGGGTCATTTGTGACGAATTACTTTTACTTGTACGATCAAATGCTCCAGTGTCCGAAAAAAAAGAATAAAAAACCATTAATTGTCGCCCAATCTATTCTGAAGTAACAAGAGACACAAACTAAGTCCTCCTGAAAATGAACAAAGCTGATAACAATTGTTCCTTAGTTGGTCATATGTGGTTGGAGCGTGTCAGCTTCCGAGGCAGGGGGGGCACTGAAATGGTTAGCAAATTAAGGATACCTAAAGGCAGGCTGGCGATAGATTTTTCTGACATAAGAATCGATGTTTCGATGCTCAGTCCTGTTGACCTGATAATAAAACAATGTCCAATACCGCGCCATAATGAAACAAGGTGGGTCGTGTGTTTTATCACGTGTGATGAGGTCAGTGGGTGCACGGACATGAAGGATTTGATATATTTACAATTTTGGCTTTGGGCAAACAGTTGTAAACTTCGCGGGCGTGAGATGTGACGATGTTTACCGGGGAGTTTGACAACCTTTACGAGAGGTGAGATACTAGCTACAAGATTGTTGACAATTCCGCTCTCCGAGTCTGCCCGAGGTCCCGCCCGCCCCCTCTGACTAAACCGAATATCAGTTTGTTCAAGGAGGCTATAGGCTACTTGAAACAGTACATGTCTACACTCTTGGGCAAGTAGACCTAATTAAAAGGTAATAAAAATTCCCCCGCTGCTAAGCAACAGCAATTTGCTGTTTCTTAAAAAGGTCCTCCTTATTATGTGCGGATGAAAAGAGAAGAAAGGGGGTTATGATCATGAAAAACTCAGAATCCTTAAAATTCCCCATGCAGAAACTTTGCCAGATTCCTGAGCCTAACTTCAGTGGACCCTCTTTTCAATAGTACGAAATGGAGAGTTGCCAGCCAGATTCAGCTGAGAACCACCCAGAGAAAGTGTTCATTCCTTGGCATTGTCGGCTGGTTACCAGTTTTTGTTAAGCGAATATTTTCTTTTCTCAGCTACTCAATGACATTTGCTTTGGGATTAGTGCATGCCAGGGCCTAGGGAAAACTTGCTCTACAGGCATACATAGGCCTAATGCGAAAAGGGGAAGTCATAGCTCTGACGGATGAAGTCGGCGTTGCACTTGCAGAAAGCCTGTGTCGAACAATGAATGCGATTGGAGAATATACAGCAAGTACACCCTAATTATTCTGCAGGATTAAAATACAATTTTTTAAAAAAGTAAGTGTATCCTACGCAATGACTCGATTTATAGTTGCATGTCTTATTTCCTTTTTATATTCTTTTTTCTGGTTTATTAAAATGGCCGATTCAATGAGTTCTGTAAGTTTGCCTAAATTTTACAATTTAAATCCGTTTTGTAATAATTATATCTTGCGCATATCGCCTCACAGTATTTACAAAATCAAAGGTGTTACAAAAACTTACGCAAAGTAATGTGCAAAGTCGCTAAACTGGCTATTGAACAGTGTCTCATGATAGAGGTGCATGGATATCTGTTGTAACTATATGGGATGCAAACTTGTCACATCAATTCATGAAGACATCATCCGATTTCGTCAGCAACTGTACAAAAGGAAATATTCCTGTGTAGTTCTATAATATGTGTTTCGGTTAGCTATCAGTGTGCGTGTTATTCAGATTCGACCTTGTTACACATGTATCGCGGACAGCTGCAAAAGAATATTTGCATATCAACCTCCTTCCCTTGGGCCCTTATCATCGTCTAATTACATTTCTCACATCTTATATTTTGTTAAGCGTTGGTGCTCTGTTGTGTCGTGCAAAGTAGATTGACCTTTGATTTCCCGAAACATGAACTCACGTTATCCCGGTCGTTGTTCTCCAGAACAACCAAATGGGTTTATGCGATAAGGCTGGTTGAATGTTTGCGACGACATGCTTTGGAAAATAACTACAGATCATGCAGTGTTCTTTTATTCAAGGGCCTATGCACTGTTTTTGTCTTATAATACAGGCCGGAAATACACCATGGGAAGCGGGAAATTTTTTTGATCTGCCAAATACAACACGACCACCTCTCCAATTCTTTGTTTGTTTTATTTATTTGTTTTGGGTTGGGTTGCTTTTTAATGAGTCGGGTTGCCGCCCTGTTTTTTTTCCTTTCACCTCTGTGACCCGTGTTCGAATCCCTCCCAGGCCAACTTAAGAACTGGGTTTCTAGTCCCTATCTAGTTTCATGGGTTTTCTTCCACCTCTAAAGCTGAAATGTCTTCTTTTTTCTGTCTAGGTTTCCTCATGCCTTCGGGGCCCATTATTTCCATAACAAATTACATGTATGATCAAAACTCCAATTAAGAAAAAAGGTACCAATCATGGCGTCCACTTCACAGCATATATGAACACCCAAACAAGCAAACTTAGTGTTGAATTACAGTGTTTGGAAACTGTCTGTCTTTCACCCCTTCATCAACCACCTTCACAATGCCATCGATGCAAATTTACACCATGCATGGGCTATTATTATTTCATTATTACCATAGAAGACGCATCGGTATAGAGAAAGATGAGTGACTAAAAGTATTAACAGAGAGGTCCAATTTTCATTTATTTTTCTTCCAAACTTGAAGTATGTTGCGGTGCGATGCAAATTTTCGAAAATACATCGTGTATAGTGAAGTGAATTAATAAAGCGGTTCACACGCGGATCAACGGGGTTGGGGGTCGAACCCCCACCACCACCACCAAAAAAGGTTTTTAAAAAAGGGAAATTAATTGAAAAAAAATATAGTAAGTTTAAAACCAAAATAGCATTCTGGAGATTCTTCTTATGTGTACACAAATATCATTGTAAACAATGTATGCCAAGGATTGTTTCAGCATTTCCGCTTCTGCGCAAAAGTTAGAAAAAAAATCTCCGGCCTGACCCCCCCTAAAAAATTCCTAGATCTCCCCCGGCATTCCTTTTAATTTCAAATTCTCACAGTCACATTACTGCATATAATTCCAATTAAAGACTGTTTCTCAAGCTATTCACAAAAGAGCGATTACCACCAACCCGTACAGCAATTGTCCGATCACATGCCGGTTTTTTTTTAGATATTACAGCAAACATTGATCGGAATAGGCCCGCAATATGAAAAATAGAATATGACGCGTTTTTGCGGTAGACATCTGTTACCAATCAATATTTGGGCGATTATAAATAATCCGAAGAGTGTTTATGGTGATGAGTTTCAGCAATGAATATAAATGGTATCGGCAAATGGTTTTCAGCATAGATCCGTTCATCTGACGTGCCAGCGTAGAGACCCCGCCAACCTGAAGTTTTAAATCGAATATGTATGTTTCTTAACTCCTTTATAATGAATCAACCTGTATTTCGCTCACTTTAAAATTTATATTTATCTAAAACGTTTCCACAGTTTCCTTCTGGCTTGTAGGATGAGTGTCTTTTATAAATAGAATCCGTGGGTATAATATTCAACTGACCTAAACCTTCTCAAAATGGTATTGGTTATTGATGAATAACATAGGCCTAGTATGTGTAGCTACTTAATACTGGAGAAACATGAGACTGGGTATATAAAAACCTGCTCAAAAAATCTGGATGTGCAGTCCCAAAAGAAATGTATCTAATGTGGATCTTAATACATGAAGTTATAAATGCAATAATATTGTTATTATAAACACAATCACCGCATTTTTATGAGGACAGAACATGATATAGCAACGGTTTTAATAAGACACCAAAATGTGACATGGCAATAATGACTGTTATAAATGTCGCTTGATTTTTTTCTGTTGTTTTTCAGGTTGTTATGCCTTCTGAATGCTCGCACGTATGTTCAGTTTAGTAACTGACATATTGTGTATTTTGTAAAGTCATATGGTTTATGGTAACGTTCGTAACGTGGTGTCCTGAGCGTTATGAGCTCGCACGCATATGCTGCTCTATCACCGCCAAACGTTTTAGTTTGCCTAGTTGCCCAAATCATTTAAAAATAACCATACGTAAATTTAGAACGCCCTAGGAATCTGCAACTGTTGCCACGAATTAAATTTTCAGACTTTTCTGACTGTGATTGCAATCGTGTCCTGTTCGTTACGAGCCTGCGTTGTGTACCCCAACGAGCCTACACTTGCTGGTGTGTTCCAGTAATACCACAAAACAATAGCCTCGTACCCAGGGTGAATGGGTAACCTGCACACGAAACGTTTCCTACAAACGGGAACAAGGATGAAGTCGCGACCAAAGATCGTAATCTTTGGTCGCGACCTTTGTCGTGTCTTCACGTTGGTACTGCTGTTTTAATACGAGCGTGACTGTCGAAGTGTACACTTTGCAATCCAAGGAAATCTGAGTCAATCCACTGCCATCGGACGATATTTCGTCATTAAAAACACAGTGAAAGAACTTACAGACACCATAATTCTGTTCATTTGGCAAAATATGTGCTTACAGACCGATATTTGGACAGTGACCTATGACGATGTACGAAAGTTGCTCAGCGTCCTGTTTTTGCACCCAAAAAAAAAAAAAATTCTCATCTTCCCAGATGTCACACATTTGTAACCAATATCGTATACGCGAGCACATATTATTGATGAATTATGACAACTGTCATGAGTGAATACAGGAATAAATTATAATCTTTGAGTTAGTTTCTCAGACGGTTTGAGAAATTTTCTTTTCGAAACCCTCCTAAAATGCTAACGGATCAGTGTTAGAATTACTTGTGATCCCCACTTTAATTTGTATGGACATTCGAAATGCCAAAAACAATGTATACCGGTACCTATTACCATCAAACCTCGTTAATAAGAGCACTGTTAATACAAGATTCTACTTAAACCAAGGAAATTGTCAGGTCCCAGTCCTTTCTTTTTCATTGTTTTCATTCCTGAAAATACAAGGTTCCTGGTATAACAAGGTAATTTGCAAAGTCCAAAGGACTCTTATTAACGAGGCTCGATTGTATTCATAAATTCATAAAGGAACACCAACGTGACTTCATGTATGGGTAGTAATTCACTTCAGCTTGGATGCATTTCATAGTTGTTGGCGCTCCCAATTTACAGCACTGTACTGCAGAAGTCATCGCGCCCTTCATGGACAACACAACAGCGTTGACCGAGGAGCAACTGTCCGGCGCTCCGTATACCGGGACCATGACGGGGGGTGGCACGGCAGACAATTCGACTGACGGTACCTTGCCAATCCCAGCCTGTCTCTTTAACCCGCACGTTCCTACAACCAGCGAGTTGATAACAGGTGAGCAAATGAACAGAAAATGAACTGACAAGTAGCACGGGGAGTAGAATAGAAGAGCGAGATCTCTCAGGGCTGTCACGCTCCAGATACTTGTCATTTGTGGTCCCGTTCAACAAACCACACCGTTTCAGTTCATCGCCACAGTTTTTGTGGTGTGCTCCAAAAATGCGCGATGTGGACTCGACAATTAAGCTGCCATTTTGCCTAATCGCGTACCGCTAACACTCTGGTCAAATTCTACTTTAACTCTAATCAACAACCATGTGCCTTTAAAAGCAACATCACTGACCCAGTTTTTAAACAAAATGTGAAGGGCCGACCCGAAAACTCGCGAAAAGTTTGCTGTATGTATTTAATAGCCAACATTTTCTTGTTTCACACTCTAGAATGTTTCAATATATTTTAAATGATTTTTTTTTTGGTTTATTTATCCCCTGTGATATGTTTTCAGGTCCCATTGCTCTTTTATAGGCCAGAATTCAGTCGCCATTATCATTTCGATTTGATTACACAAAGTTGAGTATTTGCTCGTCTAATAAGTGCGTTCAGATTCAAACGGTCGTGATGTCCAATCACTTCGAAGACAACTGCGGCAGACCACGGACCATTTACCCAAATGTTCCGTGGGCAGACTAATCAAAATTTAAATTTCAACGGGCAGACATTTCGTTTACATTGAAATTCGTGCTTGCAGCACGTGCATGTTGTAAGAAAAGAAATGAACGCGACAGAAAATGATGAGAACACCATGTATAAAAACTTTTTCATATTTACGCAAGGTGTAAATACTGTCATGTTTGTTATAACAGTCGTTATGAAGAGTCCCAGCCTCATCTTCATGATGATTCTTGCTCTTCTGCTGGTTTTCTTGACCGTGTTGATGTACGTCGAGGGGCAGGTCTACATTTGCAAGAAAATCCCGGGGAGGCGAAAGGTTCACCTCTCATTCATCTTCAGCCTGTACCCGGTGAGAACAACTCGGGTTGCTCTTGTCTGCTCGGCTTATCTTGACTATACTAGACCGGATTTCTTTGTGTTTCCATCCAACGGTGTAATGTCCTTCTAAGATTATTCTTATACCTGAAACACTGTCAGTGGCTTAACATAAAGTTTTAACATTCTCAAATTTCCAACAAGGTAATTTTGTTGCTTATTTTACAGGTGTTTTCGACGACATCATTGTGTGGATTTTACATTCCGAAGGCACACATTGTGGCCAAATTCACCTCAGAAATGTAAGTGTAATCTTTAGTTCAACAGTAGTAAATCCAAAGAGGTTAATATCTTGGTAACAGTTGCAAAATATGAAACGAAACATGTTTCGTCCGCAGTGCTCCACGTTTTCAGCATTTTGTTGAATAAATTTAAGCTGGCAGATAGAGGTATCAAGTTTGAAATCAATTCGGGAATGATATTAAGTAAACAATCTGTCAAAATGGTGCTTATCCTGTTTTGGAAATAAACACTTTAATGTTATCCTAATCGAACATGTCATTCAATTACCCAAATTATGCCAATTTTGATAACATCTTACCAACCTTTGAGGTGTTTTGCCCACAGGTGTATACCTTCTGTTGATATTTGACTAACATTGGCTAATAATAGAGCAAGAATAGACCAATTTTTGGAATATAAAATAATTCTGCATTCTTTTCATAGTCCTATTACAATACAAGAGATTTTACAAGTATCAATAAAGAATTGTACAGAATTAATTTCAGATGAAAATTGATGTCCCACCTACTTCTCTGTGACAATGGCCATTTTAAGGCATAATGTAAAAAAATCTGACCACATCGGTTTTGAATTTTGTCATCTTCACAGATGGTTGTCTCTAGTACTCTTTCAGTTTGTACTTCTAGTGAGTGAGTACTATGGGACCAGCGAAAAGATGCTGTTAGTGTTACACGGGAGGAAGATTCCTTTAGCTGGTCCCCCGTGCTGCTGCTGTTGCTGTTGTTTCCTTCCATCCGTCCTGATTAACGAGTAAGTTCCAAACGTGTCTGCTCCACATTTTTAGATTGACGAATTATTGACAGATATTTCATTTGTAATAGATTTCTTTTTGTTTTCGATTAAATTCTGTGCACGAGAGGGAGGGTCGGGTGGCGATTCGCATTATCCATTTCCTGTTTTATCAAATTCTGCTTTTATAAAACTGTTCAATGCTCTACTTGTTCAAACAATCCGGTCTGATTTATGTTCGAGTTTATTCAGTTAAGGCATTTGATTACACAAGTACGTGAGACCTCATAACAACATCTCTTTCCACTTTCCTGGAACAAAATAGGAAAAATATTGGGAAATTCTCCCGAAGAGTGAAAATTCTGGTGCTGCAGGTTGCGGTATTGAGACCTATTCTATGGTTTATCGCCATCATCCTCTGGATCAATGGCAACTATAACGAAGGAGAGGTAAGATTCTCGAACAAACATTTCAGCACTTTATTATGTTGTTTGCTGAAGGGGGCTGTAAGTTAAGAAGTCAAGCTTTATATTTTGTGGTGTGGAGTTTCATGCTTAAATCGACATTCTAAAAGTGATTTGAATACTTTTTCCCATTTATAAATGTATAAAAGTTAGGAATCGTAAGTAAAGTATAATTCAGTCAGTACGGACGTTTCACAATAGTGCACCTCTAAGGGTTTGCAACGCGTTGACCGATCACAAAGCGCGAAATCTGTTGATTCTCTCCAAACGCGCACTATAGGTTGACAGATTTCGCGCATTGTGATCGGTCAACGCGTTACAAACTCTTCCAAGATACTGGCACATTATTTCTAAATCAAGACCCAAGAAGCCTTCTTGGAAAGCCGGTGAGATATTTGACGTCAAGGTAAGGCAAATAGGGGCCAAAAATGCAAGCGTTTTATTGTTTCAGTTGGACGTTGTGCCATGAATGAAAACGTCAGCAGTGTGCGCGTGCACACGTATACTATAAATGGCCACTTCCATTCACCGTAGAGCCGTTAGTAGACCCCTGATGGCGCGCTTCTGGAGCCTTTGGATAGGAAAAATAACGTGCAAAGATGTTAGAAATTGTAATTTTTTTCGTTCAGTTATTTCTAAAAACAAATTCAACTTGGAAAAAGGGCTTTGGAAAACATTTGCTAGAATAGCAATTTAAAGAAACTGAAAAATTACCTGTCGTAAAAGAGAAATATCCTCCCCAAAATTGACCCATCACTTCCGAAAATCTAAAATGCATGAAAAGCAGTTCAATGCGGCGGTCTCGTACGCAGATGCACATTAACGGTTTGAAATGTTATGGTGTTCTGTCGGTAAAACCCGAAATAAAAACTGATCAAAATATTTCTCAAACAAACTGTTTTGATTTATAAGGCAATAAACTGAAAGCAATAATCTACTTTTACGAAGGACACTGATATTTTATGACAACAACTGTGGAACATAGAACCCATCGACTACAGGTAGGTAAATCTTTGTAATGTTTTACAATCTCGTTTTCACATAAGCACAGAGAGTGAAAGTAAATGTGCAGGAACAAGGAGACCTAGGTACGATATGAAGACGTGATCTTCAGTGGTGAAATTCATTTTTACCCATCTCCAGGTGACTTTTCCTAACTATTAGTTGAGGAAGACAAAGGTAAAATTCCAACACAAGTGTTTCATGGGGTGGTTTCAGTTTTCCAAAAACTTATCGAACGTGATGGGACGCCAAATGTAAAATCCCCATAGGCGAACGGCACAAGGGTTCCGGAAGCTCGCTGCGTGACCCTTTACTTTCAGGATCTATTGTGAATCGCCCGTATTGAACGATTCTTTTTGTCGGTGGTGCGTAAAAATTAAGGACATATAGGAATATAAACTTAAATTTTCAGTTTCTATGGTTAAATTTGATCAGTTGTAATTAAATCCTACGGTTATTGTATGCGACATATTCTGAGTATACATTCATTCATTATTTCACAAGATTAAGAATGGACACAGAACCCAGCGCACAGTTTCGAAACACAAACACATGCAGGGTATAGACGTAATTGAAACAACACTAATTAAAAATTTAAAAAACTCCACCATACAAAGATCTGTACTGTAGACAATAAAAAGTGGACTATATTAAAAAGGTTATGAACCTCCCCCCAAAAAAAAAAATCGAGGTAACTATTGGGGAGCTGGACTCGCTAAAAATCTACAATTTCAAGTAGGGACAGTTCTCCCAGGCAATATTGTGGCGGGAATTCCAAATAGTAGAGCTGGACAGATTCGGCTGAGATCCTTCTTGAGGCTGTACTTGTTTTTTACAGGCTTGGAACATAGCCTGTAGATTCTCTAGTGATATTAACCCACGGCCACCTACTTCAATACAGTAGAGCTGAGGACTGTAGCCTTCATTTGCAAGGTCGTCAGTTAAGGTTTTATATACTTGACGATCATGAGCGGAGTCAGTGTTCATTTCAAAAGGAACAGTAAGTTCAATTATTTCAATGGACTTGTTATCACGTAGCACAACCATGTCGGGCTTTATTTAAACTAGTGACCAAAATGTTAGGAGGGACTGTACCACGTGCAGTTGAATGATCTGGAATATCTGAATACACCACAGCAGTATCGAACCTGAATTTATATGCTCTAATTAATTGAGATAAAACTAAGTTATGGCGCCAAGTACATCGGCCTTGGTCAAGAGATACTGGGCAAGAATTCAAAACATGGTTCAGTGTTTCCCTATTTCCACATATCTTGCAATTAGCGGTAGTTCTCTTGCCCCAAATAGTAGTTGCCCCAAGTAGTAAGTACACAAATTACTGAGTGTAGGTAAAAATTCGATAGATGCACGAACAGCAATGCTTAGAACCCCTCTAGGTAAATTATAAATTAATGATCTCCATGTATAAGGTCTAGTGATTGAATGTGCATTAGTTTTAGCAAGTTAGCTTGCTGAACAAGGGGGCTAATGTAATTACGCAAAAATTTGAGTAGATCGTCATAGATGGTATTTTTAATCTCAGTCTTAATCCTTGACCTTAATCTATAATCTGGAGGAGGCTTCGGTGTAGATGTGGTGCCACTGCCTCGATCCAAATTTACCCATATTTCGAGTCCACTGAGATTCTCGTTCCAATTTGCAAGCGAGTGCATGGGTGACCCGAGGATGTGCCTTAACCAAGCACCTTGCATAGGCTAACAAATGAGTTTCTAAATAAATGTTAGACAGCCTAGGCAAGGTAAGTCCATCTGGACTATGAACAAAAGCAGGGGTAGTGCCATGGGTCGTAAGGCCAAGCCAATTTTTAATGGCATTAGTGTGAACATGGTCAAGCATTTCAAGTTGAATATCACACAGCTTGTGGACTGTGAGCATAAATCACAGAGAAGGGACAGCATAGTTAGAATAAACACGCAGTTTGAACTCATCCCTTATCATAGAATCATTAATATTTTTGATAACACTACTCAATTTTTTTTCCACACCATCGAAAATGTCCATGGTTTTGCCTTTGAAAGTAATCAAACTTCCCCAAAACTTCTCAGGTGCATCTTTCACGGACTTCTTGTATCGCCAATTACAAAAGTACAATCGTTTAGAATACCATTACGAATTGTTCATTTTTTTGGCTGTTGATTATGTTTTTTCCTTCAGCTGAATGTACGTGTATTTAGATGTACCGTATATACACAATGTTTCAGGGTCAGCCACGATTGGACGGTATGAGGCGTGAGTTTAATTGAAACGCAACATAGATACTCGAAATAGTGGGTTCCCGGTACCAACTGTACTATACTTGATAACAACTCCCACGAACAGTATAGCTAATGGTCTGTATACATCGTGGTGATATCCCAACGTTTCATGATTCGGTTGCTAGTGGAGATACCAGAATAAAAAGATTTACAAGATTCTCAGTTTTGTCCCCATCTGCAGCTCTCCATCAATGATGCCTACCCATACATGACTTTGATTGCTCTCATCTCCAACATGGTGGCGCTGCAAGCTCTCGTCACTTTCTTCAGGATCTCGCAGGACCCCCTGTCCTCCTACAAAGTCAAGCCCAAGTTCTTCACCGTGCAGTTAGTGTTGATCATCACAAGCATCCAGAGTGTGATCACGGGTGCCTTGGCCAAGTTTGGCGTCATCAAGTGTCTGGGACCTTATAACTCCAGTGTCAACGGAAAAAGTAGGCCATAGCTTGTACTCGAATCCACGCTAATCCCTTTCACCAAATCGTCTGGGCGAGACGTGAAGCCTTTTTGTAAGCGAGTTATCCTGATTCGTGCGCGTACTTTCGGTCAAGGCCAGCTCATACATAGGGCGAACGAGGAAGCGAAGTTCATTAACGTCAGCATCATGCTTTATGCCCTCACCATGAATATGACCACACAAGGTGCAGATCGTCACAATACGGGCGATTCACAATAGTGCGCCTCCAAGAGTTTGCCACGTGTTGGCCAATCACTATGCGCGAAACCTGTCGACCTAATGCGAGTTTGGACAGGGTCGACAGATTTCGCCAATTGTGATTGGCCAACGCGTCCCAATCTCTTGGAGGTGCATTATTATGAATCGCCCGTATTGATTAGAAAAGTCAAGTCTATAAGGTCAAGTTTGCAGTAAACCTCTTGATTCATTTTATTGAAAAAAAATTGTCTTTCTGCAGTGATTGTCGACTTCACTGTTATTGTGGAGATGTTCTTCTTCATGATCTTAGCCGCACTTTGGTACCGCCGTGTAGAGGGCAACGTGGACCACGACCTGATCGAGCGTCAGACTTACAAGAGATTGTCCGAGACTATTTACAAGAGAAACCCGCGTGAGCAGATCATGCTGCAGCGTCACAACGCCCCCAACGACGGCGAAGCGGACATGACGACAACGCCCTCGCCGGTGCCGCGATGCCAACCGGACGGCATCTGGCTGTACAGAGGAATGAACGGGGACGGCTTGGCATCGGCAAATGGGTTAAACAGCGCCTCTGACTGCAAAATGGACAAACTGCTGTTGAACTGTCAGAAAGAACCTCTTCTGAACAACACATCTGGCGGGAAGGCCCTTACCCATATCCAGCTCCCATCAACTTTTGCCATGGACAACTTTGCGTCTTCCAGAGAAACTGATGTTTGAAGAAGAATGGAGCAGTGATTGAAACATTCACCGGGGCTCAGTCATCTCGGGACACTTCAAACCTCAGAAATTTCTGTCTACAAAAAGCTGCACATTTTAAGGACACGGAATTTGAAGAAAAATTACTTGCCAAGCGTTGAGGCTGGCTCTTTGAATATTAATGATGAGCATGGATGTAAATGAAAAATAACCTTTAACTTAAAAAACCAAGCACGTATCGGACCATTCGATTTCCCATAAAGAACGTGCTGTTTACTGATTTGCCTTCCCTGTGTGATGTAAGATTAATATTTCAATAACCAGGATTTGAACATTTATGATCACTTCTGTAAGTTTTATTATCCATGTATTTGTACTTATCATTTTTTAACTTATAGTGGACCGAAAGGTTTTTTTCTGACCGCCGCCGTTGAGAAACCAAATTTTTGAGTGGAGGGGGTAGAAAACTATCACTTTGGTGTTGGCCCTTTTGCCTTTTTGAAGGAGTGGGGTTTAATTTTCACATGTTTTTGGATGGAAGTGACACGAAATAGCCCAGGGCTATTTATTTCTCTCATTATAATTATACCAAACGAAATTGATCCCCCCTCCACCAAACTGATTCAGACACCGCAGTGTTGATTTCAGCCCAGTCTGTAACGTCGTCAGTTGTTGCCAAAAGAAATATTTTTTGACGACGGGGTCTTGATGCATCATGTTAGGGGTGCTCTTTAATTTTAGAGGACTTGTCATTTTGTGGCAAGTCATTAGTAGCTCAGTCCACACACAAGAAATACAGTGCTTAATTTGCAATTCATTAAATGCGTCCAAACAGGTTCTTTTTTGGCTGACCTAAAGACCTGAATACTTCAAAGGCAAAAACAGAACTTAATACAATCAGTGGTCATCTTGAAACCTAATGAACAGTGACTGGCTTATTTGTGCGAACTGCGCCTTCATTCAAAGAAAGTGTTATGCCGCCAACAGTATTACCGAGCAGAATGTAGCGCGGTCTCTTTATTCTAACGCTGTCTTATCTGCTTGCAAGTGACTTTTTGTAACAATTTTCAATTCTAGTTTTCACGATGAAATGATTTTGAAAATAAATCTGCAATTGAACTTTTGTTTCCGCCTTAAATTTTGATCGTGTGATATTGTAAAGCCGTGAAATGGAGAAATGCTAATTGCATCGGTGGCGGTGCATAAAGCACTTTAAAAAAAAATAATAGTTGTTTGTTATTTTTGCCGTGGTGTTCACAATTAGCAAAAACAGGACCCAACTGACGGAAAATGCAAGCAACCGAAACAACAAAGACAGGAACAAGAAACATTTAGGCTGGATTGCAGTCTGGATATGATGATAAGTTCAGAGCCAATACACGCGAAATAAATTGGGAGAAAACCTTCTCCTGGAGGTCCCAAAGCTGTTATGGCAATCAACGGTGGCAATAGAGTGATTGCTTATCAAATCTACCACTCATCGCAACCAGCAGATCTACACGAAAGGCACAATCAGTAGATTATAGTGTGGCCTGTTATATAATATTGAAAAAAGGGAACACTTTTGAAGTATTGAAATATGCTGGTATCATTTTAATGTGCATGCAGGCTACAAAAGATACAGGTCAACTGTCAGTACGGTTGCTACTCAAACTAGAATGGAAAAATACATCTAGTTAGTTACCTAAATACACGTAGTAATACAAGTACTTCTGTTGCTCCCCGGTTGAGATTGCTTCTACCTAACTGAACACAAACCGAACCAAAAGCAATCCGTCAAAGATGCTCACTGGATTTACCGTGATTTCTCGGTCAGTGGCATAACCAGGCGTCCGGGGGTATCTGAGGGGGGTGCACACATTTTATCAAGGGGGCACCATTAGAAAATAAGTTGCAGCTGCTTATAAACTCAACGAAGATTATTCACATATTTCCAATAGGGAGCATGGGGGGACGGGCATCCGCTGGGGGGAGGGGCACATGCTCCCTCTCCCATGCCCACTGTTCTCGATGAGCTGTATCTTACAAGTCACTTAAAAATATGCAGGAGGCGTTGGATGTATACAGTTGAATCTCACACACCCAGAACTGTTAATGCTGTTTGTTTTCATTTCCATCATTTCCAGTTTTTGCTTTTCCCGTTAATGGTAAAGAATACCTGCCTGAATAATTGGGCCTACATTTCAATGACATGGGTCCGAAGAATTCAACATGTGTACAGCCCTATCGGGAACGCAGGAACCTCAAGAGAAAAGTAATGCCGTAGCAGTTCCGACAATCTGATGACAGGAAATTTTACCGTTTGAATTTTCTGGCCTCCACATTAACAAAAACATAAACCTTGGCTTTGGAGATAGCGGCTGTCTAGGTCTATGAATTTATCATTGCTTGCAATTCGCTGCTTTGATTGGACAACGGAAGGTGTCACGCAGCCAAATCGTGATACAGGCAATGTAGATGGTACTTTGAACTATTCGGGAAGGACGTAAATAGCCTATTGAATCTGATGATGACGCGTTTGTCGAGCGAACTCAAGTTACTTGAGTAATTAATACTTAGATCGAGATATCGATAACCTAATGCCAAATTTAGAACCGAAACCATCTAGAAATTAAAAAAAGTTGGTGGCGTTGAATTAAAAGACAGCGGTACGGTGTCTCTTGCGAAGGTGAATATTATGTAAGCGGGGAAGTAAAAAACCCTGTTCATTAGACATTGGGACTAACATATAAAACGTGACCTTTTTTGAAATGCGAGACCAGCTGGACATTCGAGTTGACGCAAAGATGCCCCCTCTCCTCTTTGACCAGGGTTCGAATCCCATTCAGCCCGACATTGTAGACTGCCACGGTTTTCATCAGCCCCTATCAAAAGTACACCTGAATTTGTGGGGATTCTGTGGAGCATCATTTCGGGCTTTCCCTTCCACTTCTTGAAAACTGACATTTTCTGCTGCATCTTCCCTCTCTCTCATTCTCCAGTTTTCCTACTGCCATCAACTCAGTCGACGATATTTTAGCCTATGTTAAACGCTGTAGTTAATGCTTTCCACAGCCAGTCATTCCAAACAACTCGGACTGAAAACTAAATTTTGTCTCATTTACCTCCAGGTTAAGAAAGTATTACAGTCTGATATTGGCCCCTGGACGACTTTTTAAGGAATGGCAGGTTTGGTTTCCCTTAGAAGCGTTCTCATATGCATGATTTACCCTGTTTGGAGTCAAGGTTCCAATTTTTTGAGTTCTGCGACTGACCGTAGCCTGTGCACAAGACCATAAACGCCTACTTCGTTGTGGTTGTATAAAATGCGTATCGTCGATGGAAAGCTAATTGTTATAGAAGCCCCCAAACTCTCGTCGAAAATACCGACCTTTGCAATATTGTGGCAATTAAACTTATATTTCAAGTAGGCTAATCGAAACGGTTCCGTGGCACAGTTTTTAACAGAGACTTCGAGCCGAGTCATATCATCACAAATTTCGCGACGGTTTTGCCATTCTACGCCTTGTGGACCGTGACGGTCCACTACAGTTACCCCCTGTACAGGCTTGTTTGTCATCATCCTAGCTTATTGCTACCGCCAACCTCTACAAAATGACCCAGTAAACATTATTTCTTAGCAGATGGCTGTAGACGGATTCATTTCTATTATCGAATTAGGTGCGATGGTTAAATTGCTGTTTAAAGCGTAGGTTCACACCAGCATGACTCTCGGAATTGCGCAGGAAGAATAGCTGTTAAAAACAGGCTGACAGGGGTGCTGCCAAGATATTCTCATCTGAAATATAACTCCCATTATGCGTTGTCAAGCATGTCACCAGTCAAGAGTTCAATACAAAGTTCAAGTGTGTTTTTTCTTCTTTTTTTGGATTAAAACAATAATACAAAGGTGCACTCATAGCATATGCATACACGCCACGGATTTTATCATAAGCAATTGGAAGGGGACGTAGCCGAGTTTCCAAGAGAGGTTCGGGGGAGATTTGAACTATCCACCTTAAGTTTGACACATTTTTTCCATTTAAACCTACAAGATGAAGCTTGTCTCTCACACCAGGCTGGTTGTACATGACTGTATTATGCCTGGGGTGTTATTTTGGTGCATAACAAGGAAGGATTTGATCATCATGAAGAAACAAGCAAAAGGACCAGAAATGAAAACATAGCCTAAATAAGGTGATCAAAGACAAAAACCTAATCGTTCGCATATTTCCTTTTGCACGAAAGCCTAAGATAAAGTTTGTAGAAAATTAATTTAAGAAGATGCACTGGATTTAAATTAAACCTTAGTTAAATTTGATGAAGAGGTTATTTGAAAATAAGCATAACTCGATTACCATGTGAAATTAGTCTGACATCGAACCAATCAAGAGTGTAAAAATAGAATACCGCTTATAGCCACATACTGGGTGAACTTATGCAGATATCACTTTACCTTTGCCAAAGAATGGTAAGTTTCCTTCCATCACAGTGCCGGTTGAGTTTCCCAATACAATTCCGGGAAATAATCACGGAATACAAAATGTGCAGCCGTTGGAGAATTTTGGCATTTCAATGAAATCAACGTGATATTCGTGTCTTTTCGTTTCCTTTTAATTAAACACTGAAACCTTAAAACTGACGGAAAGAATTACACATGTAATACTAAGAAATAAAGAAATAAAAGACTGAAGCCGGTTCAATGATGAGAAATGTTTCATGTTAGATTTTGCACGGTATCTGTTGTGCCCATTCAAATCGATTTCGCCACAGCCATGAAAGCCACCGTGTTTGCACTTATAATGAACAATAGTTTGGTGGTTTGTGCGACGTGCAAAGACAAGTTTGTGTCATTGTCTACCCCGTTGAATCATGGATTTATCATTTCAATCGGCCCTTTAAAGAGACGTGACACATCACTTTTCTTTTACAATGTAACAATGTATTGTAGTGTGTGTGGGTCGGCGTGATGAGATGATTTAAACGGCGAATATATGAGGTCAATTCTCTGTGCAGGGTTTAAAATGACCCATTTTAAAAAAAAATTATTTTAAGTACTGCAGTGCGGTGATGGAACCGAGTCCATTTGATTCGAGTCCGAGCCAAAGCGAGTCCACGAAGGTCTGAGTCCGAGCCAAGTCCGAGTCCATGTTATCGAGTCCCAATATTGCCCTCCTGGCACCAAATCGCGGACATCACCAAAGATTTTGTTTGAATCTGCCACTTTTTATATCTGCCGCTCCGAGACTCAAACAGACACTCTATTGCGGCGATGCCTTCTTTTTTGAAAGCGTTTGACATGAATCAAGAGAATAGCCAAAATCGTTCACGGGTCTCTGTACGGTCAACTCAGTCCGTAAGCAACTCAGTCCGAGTGCACTCGGTCAATTTGGGAAAAAAATTGTTTATTTTTAACTTGGACGCAACTTCATCGGTTATGCTCTGTTTTTGTCAGTTTGGTCATAAAGGCCTGGTTATTGGCTATTTTTTGTAAATACAAAAAAATGTAAGTTTTTGTGTACAATATTTCCGAGTCGACCCGGAGCGAGTTGATTACGGACCGAGCTGACCGGCGCCCTATGTCTAGGCTGTACAGTAGGCCTACTGACCTTGAAGGATGCTTCCTCCCAAGGCGCCGCACAAAGTTGTTCCCAACTTCTCTGCGCACACCTTACTACAGAATTTGTTTGTTTGTTTTGTTTTGTTTTTTCTTTTCGAAGGCCAGCTGCTTCTTGGTGGCTGGTTATAAAGTCAAAACGGATTATCTGTGACAGGGGTGTGTTTTGATGAACTGGCAGTGAGGGCAAGACGCGCGAAGCACGCAAATGACTAACTGTGATGCGTTCATGTGCGCAGCATGTACAGTACATGTACCTATGAACTTGTGTATAAACGGTGGACAGGACACCAGCCCACTTTGCATATTTCTTTACGCGGTTTCATTTAGTCAGGTGCATAAAAAATTATGCCGATCCTAGCATATCCAAAATTTTTCACCTTTCCAGTGATTCCAATATGATGAACAAACTTTTTGTGTTCCGAATTTAATCCAACCATTCTATATTTATAGAGCTGAAAAATGATCATTAATGAATTATCGACTAAATGTGTAGGAAGGCGATTTATGGTTTTTAGCATTTGATAACTATTAAGATTCGTGACTAAGTTTCAATTTTCAGTTATTAAAATA